ACTATATTAAGTTGAGTTACTCTAGTCTACAATCAAAACTGAGTTACAATAGTCTTCGTTGCATGGGTCGATATGAACTTATCTAACTTTTCCATTTCTAATCTTATTAATCTATAAGGTCAAATAAATATAACAAGGCAAAATTTCAAAACTTGGTGCTTGGAGAATCAACATATTTTTTGATATTTGGGCAACAAGCTAGACATACTTATCGTTTTTGTCAAAAAAAAATTGTGAAAGAATAAACCATAATCATGAATACACAATACAAATTTAAAAGGCTATAAAGACTTCACAAATTTAAGTTATTTTTGCCATTATCTTATCTAATCATCAGTGACAAAAACAACTTTGACGACATTAGCGCCTCTGGCAAGCGTAGTCTAAACTTCTTAGCGGACAAGTTTTTGTACAGTAAAGATGCACACCCAAGGCTCCTTTCTTGCATTGATTTCTTTAAAAGAGTTTGGATCCAATATAAAGATACTGCAGCATAAATCCATATTCTTTAAAAAGCGATTGGTCATCGATGTCCATAATAACATTATGAACTGTTCTCTAAATTTTTCCTTTCTTGTTTTTGGTTGTATATCATCAGTATGTTTTAAAAAAAAATGTATTTTCCAATAGCTATTCCACATACCCATCCCTCCTCTCCAAGGGCGCGCGTCCCAAATTTCAAATCTCTAAAAATGAATTAGTCAAAAATGACTAATTTAATTGTCGCGTGAAATTCACTTTAACTGAACAAATACTAGAAAACGTTACATTAGATTTTAAACAATTTTTGTTATTGGTATCCATGGATACGTCAAAATAACTCGCTTGTCGATTTCTCAGGTGTGTTGATACCTAAATTATTACAAAATTGTAAAATATCTTTTTTATTATTAACTTTAGGTATGGGAAATGCTTATACCATTCAAAAGGTAATTTAATAACAAATTTAATTCTGCAAAAACATACATAGCGTTCCATTAAAAATAAGAAAGTTATTAACGTTTGAAGTTTGCCAAATTCACCCTAATTTTTATCAAGTAATTGGTTAAAAATTTGACAAAGTTTGATACGAGATATTTGAAAAATGCTTCAAGATTCCAAAATTCCAAACCGCATACCAATGGGCTATTTTTGTTGAAGGCGCAACCGTCAAATTTTTACGAAATAAATTAATAACTCGAAAACTATTGAGTTTAGGTAATATGTTATAGAAATTTTATTAGGAATTACATACGAAATTTAGAAATTAAAAAATATACAGGGTGTACTATTTGAAATAACAAAGTTGTCACTTCCGGTGAAACCAGAATTGGAATTTTGTTCAAAATAAATTTGGAAAATAAATTTAGTCAGATCATATTTTCTATAAAAAATTCATATCGATATCTTTTAGCAAAAAAAATATGGACCGATTACGGAGCTCTTGGTTACTATACCCTGTATATATATTAGAGTGCTTCGTTTGAGACGACTATTTTTTGTTTCTCACTCTATTAACGAAATATTGATCTAAACATAGAAAAAAAATCCCTCCAAAGGAGAGCTCTTAATTTTAATTTAATAATTAATTAATTAAGTACTCGCTAAATAAATTTACAGTTTACCCATGGGTAAATGCATTTAATTAACCCGTAAAAATATTTTTTTGCTTAAATTATCTATAGCATAGCGACATTTCATGGCATTCATTTGAACATGGGTTGGAGAGGGATCATTCCTCTTTAAAAGCTCTTACAGCTAATTTCCAACTTTTGAATTATATTGCCAGTAAAAAATTGTGTAGTTGATTTTTGCTCTTGGTTTTTTGAAATTTATCTCAGAAACAATTTATTCTGCGGGTTCGGCTGTATATCTGTCTTGTAGGAAATTAAATTCTCTACAAAAAAGGTCCTTTACAATTTTTTACTGGCAATATAATTCAAAAGTTGGAAATTAGCTGTAAGAGCTTTTAAAGAGGAATGATCCCTCTCCAACTTTCACCCATGGTCAAATGAATGCAATGAAATGTCGCTATGCTATAGATAATTTAAGCAAAAAAAATATTTTTACGGGTTAATTAAATGGGAAAACTTTAAATTCATTTAGCGAGTACCACCTTTGGTGGGAATTTTTTTTTCTATGTTTAGAACAATATTTTGTCAATGGAGTGAGAAAAAAAATAGTTGTCTCAAACGAAGCACCCTAATATATATACTTATATATATTAGGGTGTTTCATTTAAAACGAATTTTTTTTTTCTTGCTGACATATGAAAATTTTGTCTTTAGGTTGAAAAAAAAATTTCCTGAAAATTTGAGCCCTTAATTTTGATTCAAAGTACTTCCTTTTTAATTTTGTAGTTTTTCCATATAAAAAGCATGTATTTTTAATCATTTTTACTTTAAATTTCTATATTTTGGCCGGGTTTTGAATTATAATTTTTATCACCATAATTTCCTGCATAGTATTCACGGTTTTTGAAAGGCCCTCCCAGATAGCACAAAGAAGTACTGGAAACGTCCTGAGTATATCTTGTATCAGACATTAGTAAGTCCCGAGTACGTCCGAATCAGGTCCTGAACCTTCCGCAGGACGTACCAGGGACATCTGATGTTACCAAATCGTCGGTCCCCAGAACGTCCTAAGTAAGACATCCTCTAGCCGTCCTGAAATACTTTATTGGGGACTCCCAGCAAACAGAAAAGCGTTATAAACACGTGACATTTTACGTCCATTTTAGACGTCTTTAAGGTACAAAATTGACATGTCTTGCTTCTCAAAAATAATGCTGTTTAACATTAAATGTTAAATTTGTTTAAAAGCTTTTGCTAAAAGTAAGTAGTGGGGCCCACTCACAGAACATCACAGAACATAAGGGCCCACTGCTTACTTTTCGCAGAGTGGGCCACAGGACCAGCTGTGTCCCTTCAAAACTTACAAGCAGAAGCGGTATGGTCAGTAATTTGGCCAGAAGGTAAGAAATTCTTACTTAGAAGCTTAAGGCATTCCACCTTTATAGGACTATCTATCGTGCTACAGAGGCGAGAGGTATGCATGGGTTGCCTACATATAGTTAGGTACGGAACGCAGTCTTTTGAAAATTTGGCATTTAAGGCTTTTCAGGTTATGTATCTGTCAAAGTATAGTCAATGAAAGAAATAATATTTATAGTGCTACCGCTTATGTTTAAGCGTTAAAAGTTAATAGGTATATCTTTATAATATCACAATAACAATAATTGTTATTAATAGTTGGTTTAAGAATATAGGAATATAAATAGTATTTATTAAATACTGCATTTAATGAAATTCTAAAGTGTATGGTGCCAAATAAGTGATATTTTTGTGCATTGGGTCTACATTTCTCCATAAAATAGTTTTAACTACAACACATTTATTTAAAAAAAATCTAATCTCTATTATGAAATAAGAATATCTGTATCAAAGGTAGGTTAATGTATTAGAACAAAAAATATCATCTGATTTTGTATTTTAAGGTTAGAAAAATCTATTTTGACCAAAATAAATAAGTGGATTATTTGGAAGAGTGTGTTAATATGGTCATTAATAAAAATAGGTATACTATATAATTGTAGAATATTGTTCAAATTAAATTGAAGATTTTATACAGTATAAATTATACTTCTAATGACAAAACTTGTTCATACCTCTCGGTATACCTACCTAAGTTAAATTATAAGAAAACAAACAATTTTTAGAGAAACTTGCAATGTGAAAATATGTAATACTCCCATGACATGTGATTTATTAAAATTTTTAAAGTTATGATTTTTCGATGTAGATAAAATTCAGTCGAACTTATAACTATTTGTATTGACAAAACTTTATGTAGGTACCTACACTTTAAGCTGGATTAGAAAAACTACCACATTTTTAAATACCATATTATACAGTCTTTCAAATAATCCAAAATACTTATTTATTTTGGTAAAAATAAATTTTTCTAACCTTAAAATTACAAAATTAGATGATATTTTTGTTATAAAATAATAACCTAGGTACCTTTAATACAGATATACTTATTCAATAATAGAGAAGCTAGATTTTTTTTCAATAATGCTGTTTATTTAAAATTATTTTGTAGAGAAAACCCGATATTCGGAACAAATGCACAAAAATATTACTTATTTGGCACCATAGGTACACTTTAGAATTTCATTAAATGCAGTATTTCTATTCCTAAATTCTTATACCAACCATGGTATTGTAATGTTATATAGATTTATACATTTTTAACGCCTAAACATAATATTATTTCTTTCGTTGACTATACTTTGACAGATACATAACCTGAAAAGCCTTAAATGCCAAAAACAAAAATTACGTCCTTGGGACGTACCGAGTATATCCGCTTTAATTTTCCTAAATAAGTAAGATACTGGACGTACCCAAAACTTCCGATATAGGTCTGGGACGTTCGGACCAATGTGGGACCCGAAATGGACGTCCTGGGTACCTCTTGTGCTATCTGGGCTGCATCAATTTTGTTTTTGATTTATTTACGTTGATTGTAGTAGCTCCAAAAGTGTTATTTTTATACGAATAATGCACTGTTTAAGTTTGGCCCCCTGATTTCGGGACACCCGTATAATGATAATTGTACCATAAATGTTAAAAAAACGCGAAAATTCGATGGAAATCAATTTTTGGCCTCGAATAACTCTGGAAGGAATCAATTTATAGAAAAATGATAGGAGACCTTTTTTGTAGAGCGTTAAATTTACTATGAAAATCTAAGATGATCCTTGACATAAGTTGATTTGATTCAGACGTATAAAATTTCAAAGTTAAAAAAATATTCCCATGTTATTTAAATGGGAAATAGAAAATTGCGATCCGCGACCTCTAAATCTTCAAATTAAAAGCTCAAATTTTGACGAGGTCTTTGTGTTGACATCCTCTGAAAGAATTTGCCGACCATTTGAAGAAAAAGAAAAAGTCGATTTTTTTTAAACACCCTAATATATATATATATATAATTTGTTTTATTTATTTCTTCAGATAATCAATGTTGTGGATAGTGCGGGCGATCTATGGCCGATGGACAGACCGGACGGCATGCCGTCGATACAGTCGTTGGAAGTGATGTGCGGCAAGGACCACATGGACGTGCATCTGACATTTTCGCAGCCCTTCGAGGGCATCGTGTCGTCGAAGGGCCAGCACGGCGATCCGCGGTGCGTGTACGTCCCGCCGTCCACGGGCCAGACGTTTTTCTCGTTCAGGATCGCGTACGCGAGGTGCGGTACCAAGCCCGATCTAAACGGGCAGTTTTACGAGAACACTGTCGTGGTGCAATACGATAAGGACCTTTTGGAAGTGTGGGACGAGGCTAAAAGACTGAGATGCGAGTGGTTTAATGATTACGAGAAAACCGCATCCAAGCCGCCGATGGTCATTGCCGATCTTGATGTGATACAACTAGATTTTAGGGGTAAGAATTCTTCTTTAAGTTTTTTAAGTTAAACATTACTTATACTTGGGTTTATAGCATGTGAAGTTTGACATGAGTCAAAACTATGTTCTGTATGGTGGTAAATATCTAATTCAATTACACCTTTTGGAGCCTCAAAAACAATTCTTAACTTTAAACAAGGATTTTATAAAAGAGAATTTCGACCCTAATATTTTAAATTCTTTACAATGTCACTTAGGTGCTTTTGTTTCTTACCACTTTTTTGAGTAGGTACACTTAAAGATATACACCCCATAGATTGGAAACTGCACTAACGCTAGCGGCAAAAGGCTAAAGTAAATTAACGCCATCTAGGTCTACAATACCCTTAGCAATGCCAAAAATTGAAGTATATTTCTGTAACATATATTGGCGCCATATTTGAATATTGATGCTTAGTTTGGGGCCTTTATAAATTGTATTTACTGTTGTATTTTAAATAAAACAAGTATGAATATAAGATTTATTTATTGTAGTAATAATATAATTTAAAATAAAATACATACATCTATATTAGGGTGTCCCTTATTTTTATTTTTTTTACGCATATACTCCCAGTAAAAATTTCAGCTCATTCTATAAACGGGAACCCGTGCCGACTTGCATCTAAACCCTCCGTTAGTCAACGTTAGGCGCGCGCGTTATTTTGTAACACGAAACACTTTAAAAAGAAGATATACTTCATGACTGTATTTTTCTAATGATTTTATTTAATATGATTACTAATTAATATTATTGCTTTTGTTTCTATCATTTGTTTCACTAATTTAGTTGATTTTATCCCTTAAATATATTAATATCATTGAGTAAAGACTTCTTTACTCAATGTTAATATACTAATTAGTATTGCTAAAATATACTGTTATATGAAATTTCAGCTTTTTATAAGCATTTCTTTTCTTGATGTCCTCCCAAAAATATTTCAGACAGTTCAATAAGTTTTCGGTAGTCATCTCTCACAATAGACTCTTTTAGTTATTTAGAGTAAAACCCATTAAGTTTATGAATTTCAGAGTTTACGGCCTATTCAATAGACCCTTCCGGGTAACTAGCCACTCCCTGTGAAAATATACATTTTTATCAAAGTATACACATAAATAAAACTATATTTTAACATTTGTCAATAATTTATAATATAAGGGTCACATAATAACAAACACAAAATGACTTACGATCGAAGACCTCGCGACCAACCGTGTTACAAAATACCGCGCGCCTAACGTTGGCTAACGGAGGGTTCAGATGCAAGTCGGCAGGGGTTCCCGTTTATAGAATGAGCTGAAATTTTTACTGTATTATGAGTATATAAACACGTAATCAATATAATTAGAGGGTATGCGTAAAAAAAATAAAAATAAGGGACACCCTAATCTATATGTACTATACATAATCGGTATACATGAATATGTTTTTGTTTGGGGAGTGCAAACCTAAAAAATATTAGTCTTAATTCTTCAATAATAGGAGAATATTGCAAAATTTGGTAATTTAGTCCAGGCTACTTATAGGGGAGAGTGGGGCAAAGCGGAACAATTTTTTTAAATAGTGGTCATAGTATTTGAAAATAAGGCACTTATTTGTTGTTAATTAAATGGTCATTATGTTGTTGAAAAATGACAAAAATTTGAAAACTCTGGAATCATGGTTTTTCCAAATATCATTGTTTTTTTTTAATTTCATTTTGTTCCACTTTGCCCCTTTCATGGGGCAAAGTGGAATATATCGTGGGGTAAAGTGAAATATATTTTTATTTGATATGAAGACTATAAAAAAATATCTAAACAATTTTTCATCAGACAGACAATCATATGCGGTACATATGCTCTCACAACATCCACCATTTCGTCTTCATCCCAAGAATGTTGTTTGGATTTTCGAACAAAGTTCCTTACCATTTTTTCTATAAGAAATGGACGAAAAATAATTATTCATATCCCAGGTTTTTTTTCTTCAAAAATATTGCTATTTTTATTTTGTGGGGCAAAGTTCCAAAGTACCCCATTCGGTATTTTCTTATATCAAGTGTGATTTTACATATACCAATAGCAAGATGCGTCTAAATATTCTAGTAAATATGTCTTACCTTAAAAATAGTAAACAGCAATTTTTGTCTTAATTAAACAATCCTTCATTAAACATAAATTTGCCACTTAAAAGTATTAACAAAAAATGCCGGATTTCTATATTCTCACATAATAACAGAAATACGTGCACTCAGCGATCGGCGCTTTCTGTATGCAATAAAGTGCTAATAGAGCACATGTTTTGACCAAGGTCAGTGTGAAGCAATGTTGCCATATCACAAATTTCACTTTGCCCCTCATTCCGCTTTGCCCCACTCTCCCCTACATATACATATAGGAATTTGATTAAATTTACACATTAGCGACTTTTCCGAAAAACGGATTGGGGGTTGCCAAAATGCAAAAAATACGTGTGGAGGGATGTAAAAGTGCATAAGCAATCGGCGCAGGGTAAAAAAGTTGTATAATTATCACGTAATTAATAAAAGGGGCTGATAATTGAAGTGACTTACAGTGATTTTCTGTGAAAAAGAGCATGTAGCGAGTCAAAAACACGTATCTAATAGACGTAGAATTTGAAAGTGAAGTGAAAAAGCTTGAATTATGAAAAACAACGTCATAAATTGCGGAAAATGCAATTTGGGTTGGTTTGGGTTGGTTTCGCTCACCTTTGCCCATTTTAGTGTACCTGCATAACCAAGATGACAGCTAATCGTCATAACTTCAAATTACCCGATTTTAAAAATTGCATTTTCCTCAATTCATGACGTTGTTTTTCATAATTCACGCTTTTTCACTTCCACTTTCAAATTCTACGTCTATTAGATACGTGTTTGGCTCGCTGCATGTTCTTTTTCACAGAAAATCACGGTAAGTCACTTCAATTATCAGACCCTTTTTTTATTAAATACGCAATAATTATACAACTTTTTCACCCTGCGCCGATTGTTTATGCACTTTTACATCCCTCCACACCTATTTTTGGCATTTTGGCAACTTTCCTGCCGTTTTTCGGAAAAGTCGCTAAAGTGAAAATTTACCGGAATTTGTACAAGGCTTTTAAGTGTGGACTTTTGGCAAGTTCTAACCAACTGTAAAAAATCCATCTTGTTGAAACAACCATAAGTAGCCTGGGCTTGGCCTGGACTAAATTACCATTAAACAAGAAATCCTAAATAATTCATAGTTAACAAACAGTATTTTTACGCTAGAGCGATACTGACGTGCTTAGCCAAAAAGACGCAACTCCACATTTTTACTTTATAAATTATAGCGCTTTATTTTTTTTATAAGATACGTTCAATTTAATTAGAAATTTTTAGGAGATACAGTACTTAAAAATGTATGTATAGTTAAAATGCGTCTTTTTTGCTAAGAGAATAATTTAATAATAACGAGATGAGTCTTTTTGGCTTAGGACGGCAGGATAGCCAATACTTACAAATTAGTTACATTTCCGCACCCAACAAGAATACATTTCACAACCATTAACACGTTTTATCACTTTTATGGCGCAAAAATGTATTTAATAATTCAAAAATTATGATCGACATCAATAATTATGATTGAAATTTACATTTGCAAATAGCGTTTGTACAGATGTCTGCAATTTACAAATAGATATAGTTCAGGTATTGTAGCTCTATAGAGGGCAGCGGTGGGAGAGTTTCCAATCTATGGGGTGTATTATCTTTGGGTACAGTAAAAAACTTAAATACCATTCCTTATCTAAGACATTTCTGTCTCACATAAAACGAAAACAAAATATCGCCAAAACAAAATATCGCCAAAACAAAACTAAACGTTAAAATGAAATAAAACACAAAGTTTCAAAAACACAGAACCGAAAAAGATTCTTTAAAATACAATTAACCAGGCGCACTGGGGGTTTTGAGTTTTCAATGAAGGTTTTAAATTACAATTTTCACTTGAAATACGGAAAAATTACCTGAAAAATATATCTACTTTACGCATCTGTCGTCTTCCTTTTTTAAATCTTGTTGGTTTAAACATAAAAACCTGATAACATGCCTTATTCATTATATAAAACCATAAAATTGCCGTTAGACAAAGATGATAAAAATAGTTGTATTGTTTAAAGAAAAAAAAATAATATAACAATCTAACAATGATTTAAATCCCATATTTTAAAATCACATTACACGTCATCATATAAAATCTAACATAGATGAATCTGTCAAACTGTCTAACCTCACTTTCTCCTACTTCCTATTTATACTTATATTTATTTATTTTTTGTAAGTAATTTTTATAAGCGTGGAAAAAGTTGTCTTAAACACGTTTGTAATTGCATGTTTCAGAATATGCTGTATTCCAAAATTGTTAAAGAATATATCTACTATTGTATTGTTAAATTAAACAATAACAGAAAATAATTGGTTTTAGAGTATTTGAGCATTTCTTGCCTTTAATAAAACACCCACCTGTTACATCATATTTCACACTTATTTATTTTTAATGTGAAATCAGTTATTTATGAGACCATAAAACGTTTAGGTAAAATCCAAATTAATCAATATAAATATTGGTGTATTTAACAATTTACATGAAGAAGTATTAATGTGTTAACATTGTCATTATTAATGACTCATTAATCAACAAATATGTTCTACTTTTTATAACAATAGAAGAAAAAATGGGTTTAAAAAAAATGCAAATCTACTTTGTTCAATGCGTGTAATATTTATCGAAAATCGAAAATACATCTTTCCTTAACTGAAAGTCATCAAAAATATATATCAATACAGTATACGTCAAAATCACTGAACAAGTTATATTTCGCTGTTTATATTTTGATAATCTAACATAAACATCTCACTAAAATAGCATGAAACTCCAAACGAAATCATAAGAAGTAGGAAAAACGCGTGTTGTTACATACAAAATATTTTTTCTCCACCAAACTCATTATACGATATAAAAGTACCCTTTCTC